GGAAAGAAGAAAGACAGAGAGGGGGGAATAAAAACAAAAGCAACATGTACACGCGTGCTGTTTTATTACAACGGGGGGAAAATGAGAAGGAAAAACGCAAAAGCTGGCAGCCTACCTTCTTCTTGTTCTTGAGCAGCGTGGCGTCCCTAGAGTCCTCTGCGTTGCCCGGGGCGCGCGAGCCCCACAGGCGGTGCGCCATCCGTGTGTACACCAGCGAGATGATGATCAAGGGCGTGAGGTACTGCACCACCACCAAGATCTGTGAGGAGAGTCAGATGGTCATCTTGTTGCTCTAAAACAACTACCGGAGAACTTTCTGGACCCGACCAGGGGAGAGTTGGGGGAGGAGTGGTCGAGTTTTTTTAAAGCAAGTGCCACACCGTATTCTCAGCAGAACCCCCACCCCTCTTCTCTTTTACGGTGCCGTTACAGAATAATTCATGTGGGAGGCTGGGCTACGCGACGCTATGCGTGCCGAGTCGACAACTTTTGCTTCGACATTGCGCGGAATATTTAATGAGAGACGCACACTCACGCCATTATGAGGAAGCGAGGCTGAGCAAGTAGAAGAGAAAAGTGGTACAGCAGTAGGCCTTCAATGTGTTCAACATTCTACCTATGAACTGAAACTTTCAAACTCTATAATTACTCACCACATGAAATGGCTAACTCAGATCCAATTAAAAACCTTTTAATTATTTTTTTTCTATCAACTTCTATCAAGTTTACTCTGGCTGAAGACAAACTGTCGTGGGCTAGGTGGCGGTTCGGTTAGGTTGTGTGGGAAGGGAAAGGGGAAATGGCAGGAAGAGAGTAGACGAAGCAAAGCCCCGCTGCATGCTCGGAAATTCCCCCTGGGGGCTGGAGTGGCTGGGATGGTCCAATGAGGCCGGTAGTCTCCGACAGGATATAGTCTTTCCGAGCACGTCGCGTAGAGATGACTATACAACTCAGATCTCTGCCAGTGAACTGCTTTGCGTGGGTGTGGGCGTGTGCACGAGCATTAGAGGGGGAGGGGAGGGGAGGGTGAGTGAGTGAGTGAGTAAGTGAGTGAGTGAGTGAGTGAGTGAGTGAGTGAGTGAGTGAGTGAGTGAGTGAGTGACGGGAGTCAGAGACAGAGTCAGTGAGGAGTGACAGGAGTCAGAGACAGAGTCGGTGACAGACAGACAGACAGACAGACAGACAGACAGACAGACAGACAGACAGACAGACAGACAGACAGACAGACAGAAGGGTGGGGGTGGGGTCGCGGGATGGTTCCCAGTCTGCCCACTCCTCGTACCCCAATATCCGGGACGCACCGTAAATCTCCCACACTCCTTTTGTGAATCAATTACCGCTGGCAAGCTGCGCTATGCGATGAGTAATGGCTGCCTTGCTTTCTTTTCCCCGCTAAGCCGCGACGACGTCAGGCAGGAGTCGCGAGGCCGCTGAGCCCCGGCGTGGCCATCGGCGTCGACAGAGGAGGAGGGCGCCAGGTCATGCATTGTGCATGGCGGACACGTCACCTGGCTATCGGCGGAAGTGGAGAAGGCTGCACTGGGCAGCAAAGGGGTCAAACCGTGGCTATGAAACGGATTCGTGGTGGATGAGGAAAGTGGGGTCGAAGCGGGTCGAAGTCACTTGTAGGAACGTTGACCAACCCCATAACGGATAGCTTATTAACCGGTGCTACGAAGGAATGTCCACCGAAAAATGTCCTTTGCCACATGGGCCGTAGTTTTTTCGTCACCCGTGATATGGTCCTCGGATAAATGTCCCATAAATGTTGGTCCCGAAAATTAAATGGCCTCGTTAGTAGGGCACTGTTGCCACGGCCAAGATACACCCACACACCCCAGCTGGCCCACTCCACCGGACCTCGCGGAACGCGGAGGACCATGGAGCTCATCGACTCTAACAAGGGGAAGAAGCTCTTGTGCTACAAGGGCTTCCAGTACTCGCAACATTCAAGAAAAGGAGAGAAGCAGTACCTCCGCGTCCTCACGTGGAGCGAGACCAGTTGTGCTAGTGGTCCACCACCCAGCCTATTTCTTTAGTTAAGAGCAAGCGCTAGCATCTGGGGGGGCTGGGGTGCCTTAGTGAAACGCGACATTTTAAATATATTTTTCAACTGATACTTCCGGACATTCACCAAGTTGATTATCAGGCTTTTGGGGTAGTTGTTGAGGCAACAGGCACACCCGGCCGCAGGCGTGCATATTGCATCGTTCCATGAATGTGGGCTGGGCAAGCAGTCAGGCACTTGTTGTATCGTCTCACCCGCCGGTGTGTGTACAAGTATGTACTGCTAGCGTTCGGGAAATGGGAAATCTCACGTCGGCTTCCAATCTAGGCATTTGTCACACCAGGATTTGTTGTACTCACCATGCGGTAGATGAGCATGCCGTGGTCGGTCATGCCCGTCAGCTTGCAGAAGGGCTTGGTGGACGGCACGATGGGCACCTCGACGTCGGCGAGCCCCAGGGCGAGGTCGGGTGGCGGCACGGCCGTCTCGTCCGGGACCTGCACCACTCCCAGCGCCATCACCATGGGCATCGCCAGTGCGAGGGAGAGCAGCCAGATGATGACAATCATCACCTTGGCTCGGAACTTGGTGGGCGGCGAGCTGCAACAAGAGTCGCGCGCACCGTTAGGGACTCCTCGTCGTCAACGAGTTTAACGCCGCTGGCTGGGCTCTGGGCTCGGCCGAGCTGCCTGGCTCACCTCTTCCTGAGACCTAAATAGGTTCCGCACGGCGTGCACCCCAACATAAACACGGCAACTTTGCGAGGCCCGTGCTGCTGAGGTGAACGCCCGCCGCCTTCCCGCCGGGGCCCGCAGGGGACTCCAGGACCCTTTCCAGTCCTTTGCAGGGTCGAAGGACGGTCACTCGAGCCGGCGACAGAGCCTGGCCCCGGTGCGGGGTGCCCAGAGACAAGGGGGGAGGGGGGGAGGGAGGATGGAGGGAGGGGTACACCGAGTCCCTGGTGTTCGGTTCATTGGGCACCAAACAGGCCCGTCGACCCCTCCTCCTCCCCTGCACCCTGGCGGGCCCTGGCGGGGCTGAAAGAGGAATGACAAAACCAAGGGGGTAAAACTTTAGTCTGGCCGTCACTCGTCTAAAGCGCCATTCAGTTGAGTGCGCCGTGGCGCCGGAATGACTGGGGAGGGATGGCAGTTAAGTACACCTCCCTTTGTCTCTCCGTTAGCCCCGTGCCGCTCGTTCTGTGCGTGCACGTAAATGTTGCGACTTACGCGGAAAGAGGGAGTAAAGAACACTCCCTCCCCCGCCGTCTGCGATTTTAGTTATACTTTCCCCCCCCCCACCTCGTTTTGTGAAATTTGAAAGAAAAGTGGGTCTAGTGACCAGCTCCAGAAAGGCCGCCTTTGAATGGCCGAGACTTTCAGACGGATCCGGGGGTCAGCCGGGGGCGAATGATATAGTGTATTTCGACTAACGGAGGAAGAAGAACAGCGGGTAGAACATAAACGTTACCGATTGGCCGAGAGCTTCCCGCCTCTACGTCACGCCGGTAGTGGGGGTAGGCGCTCGGCCAATCAGGGACCTTCATGTTATACCCGCTATTCTTCTTCCTCCGTTAGTCGAAATACACTATTCCACCTCTGAGTCATTTGAGTTACTTTTAGCTGCTATTTCTCGTGCAATAGTCATGGTCAACAAGTCTTTTGTGGCATCAGAAAGCCCAAGAGACTCCATAGTCGAGTCAGCTGAGTGTGACGATTCTAGAGAACAGCCGCCACCTGCACCACACTTGTGCGCGAATACCGAGCATTAGCCTCAAGGAGCATTACCTCTTAGCTTTATAAACCTTAAATCACTTGTGTGTAAACGGCGGTTAAAATACCGTTTAGAGTCGCGATCAAATTATTTGGGACATGTCACTTCGTGGGGAACTCGAGGGCAGCAACCTAACCTCCGCACGCCAGACCGGAAACATAGGAGAGGAGATGTCGTGTCGTCGACGTCAAGTCGCTCCGCTCCGGCCCGGCCGCCGCCGCAGGCCGCTCGCTTGTTTAGTTTGTCGTGTGTCGCCCCGGCCGTGTCCTACATGTGTGCAAGTAGTGTTTTTTGTGACTTTGGTTTCTGTGTTTGTGTATGAACCCTGGTAACTTCAGCTCGGATGGACGAGACAACAACTATGAACCCTGATAACCTCAGTTCGAATGCACAGGACAACTATATCTTTGCCATGCTGTTCCCATTATTGAGTCATGAGCGACTTGCCTTTGTTGCCCATTGAGAAGAAGCACAGAAGTCAGTTTACGACCCCAATCCTAAACTGAACATTTGGCATGTCAACTGCTTGGTAAGTTTTCGTGTGGACCTTCAAGCAGAAGTATCTGCTGAAATGTTACTTTTAGAGAGAACCATCATGAATATTTTGTCTCACACTGATTTCAACTCATGCTGCCTTGTGATTAAAAATGAGAACATACCCGCTCATGTGTGACATTAAAATCAGTTATCTCGATCTGCCAACGTCACATTTTGAGCTTCAGTTTACAAACTGCAACTTATATTATAACCCTCAAGTATAGCCGTAGTTAATACAAAATTTTTGAAATGTTGACTGGATAAATTGTTGCTTTATTGATTTGCATGATGAGTATCAAATAGTTGTCTGCTCTACGGAGCTGAACAAGTTTCTACTTTATGAATACGATTTACCATAAATTGTACAGATAGTCTGCAAGTATGTCAACAACAATTTAATTTCAGTTTACATTTTAAATTTTTTGTGATGAAGTTTCTGTCTTTAATCAGAAACAACAATCTCTTCCTTTGAAATGTTGGCGGCATCATTATTGGTAGATGTACTGGTGTCCGGCATGACGTGACAAGAGACAGCTGATTGAATCGAAAAGGCCATGATATCGATGACAAAAGAAGCCATGGTGACATGGTTTTGTGACGGCAACCCGGAGTTTCGACGAGCTCGCGAATGGTTCGGGTCGGGGCTGGGTCATGCCTTGTCTTGCGTAAGAAATCGCGAGAACAGGGAGGGGCACT